CCGCCTCCGCCGTCTCCTCCACCGCCCTCGCCGCCACCGCCCTCGTCGCCGCCACCCTCTCCCTCGCTTCCACCCTCACCACCGCCACCATCGCCGCCACCGCCATCACCTCCACCGCCCTCGCCGCCGCCACCATCGCCGCTGCCGCCCTCTGTGCCGTATTCCCTCATCAGCCCATTTCCATCTCCTCCGCCCTCGCCGCCTCCGCCCTCGCCGCCTCCGCCCTCGCCGCCGCCGCCCTCACAACCACCCTCGCCGCCGCCGCCCTCGTCTCCGGCGCCCTCACCCCCGCCGCTGTTTCCTCCACCGCTCTCACCGCCGCCGCCCTCTGTGCCGTACGCACTCCTCAACCCATCACCGCCCTCGCCACCACCACCCTCGCCGCCGCCACCCTCGCCACCGCCCTCGTCACCACCGCCGCCGCCCTCGCCACCACCGCCACCGCCGCCAGAAGCGCCCGCGTCTTGTCCCGGATACGAGGTCTACGCCGATTCCCAGCTCGGCAGTGGCGCTACCCTCGTGCTGGTCACGGACAACAACGAGTGCTGTAACCAGACGTCGACGCAGAGCTACTGCGCATTTGAGATGAACAGCTCGCACTGCTTGTTCTACACCGGAAGCAACTGCGTGGCTGCCTCTCGCCGGGCGCTCTCAGAGAGGCTGCTGAGCGAAACCTTTTCCTCGCCACCACCACCCTCACCGCCACCCACCACAACCCTTTACGTGCTACCGACGCCGCCCTCGCCTCCCTCGGCTCCCGTCGGAGGCGAGAAGGACCCGCATCTCTACCTAGCCCGCGGGGGCCGTGCCGACTTTCGCGGCCGTCACGGCGCGATATACAACTTCCTCTCGACGCTCGGGTTGGCCGTCAACGTCAAGACAGAGGAGGCCACCTTCAAGCTGCACCGCGGGAAGCTGACCGTCCACGGCTCGTTCATCACCGAGGTGCATCTAGTCGCCCGCGTCGGCGGCGCCAAGCGGAAGATGGCGACCGCCTCCTTTTGGGGTGCCGAGCTGAACGAGTTCAACACGGGATGGCATGTCGTCAACGGCACGTGCGGCTACCACAGCACGTACACGCTGGGCATGGGCGAAACGAAGGCGTGCGAGGAGCTATCCGTTCGCCTCAAGTTCTCCAGCGCCGTCTTCTCCGTGCGCGGCTGGGTCATCAGGATCCGAGGCAACTACGTGTACGGCCGTCTCTCTGGACCCGAGCACCGGCTCGATGTCACGTTCGCTGTCCGCGGCGGCGAGGCGGACCCGTCGCTCACTCCGCACGGGATCATCGGCCAAACCTTTGCTGCGAGGACGCCGCGCCACGGTGCCGTCGATGAGTACCCCGAGGAGGGCATTTTCACAACGACGGCGATGGCAGAGGGCGCCATCGAGGGCAGCGCGGCGATGTACGAGGTGGGATCGCCGTACGCTACGGTCTTTGCCTTCTCGCGCTTTGATCACGACCACGGCCGAGACAGAGACGCTTGGGAGGAGACGCGGGCGAGGAAAGCTGTGCGCGGGGCTGACATGTGGAATTATGATTGACAGCGGCCCAGGGGGCTACTTCACTGTACAGACTGCCAGAGGGGAGAGTGTTCGGGAATTAATGATAACAGTAGATTTGAGCGTTTCTTACAAATTGCGCTTGTTTGATGAACTTGGACTCGACACTTTCAATGACGCGGTTAACAGTCCGCCCCGTCACATCCGCAAATGTGTCAGATTCTAGGGTACCCCGACTACCGAGGCGCACCCCCCCCCCCCCCCTGGCACGTGCTCATTTCCCACCAACAGCGCGATCTGGGGGTGGGGCTACAGCGTCTGGGGGTGGGGCTACATGCGCTCGCGGGGCTGCCCGACGGGGCTGGCCTCTTGCCGATGGACCCAGCCGAGGTGCCCGACCAGCCGGAGCCGCGCCGACGCGCCGCGCGCGACCAGCAGCCAGCTTTTCGGCTGGGCCGAGAACGGCGCGTCGAGCTCAAAACAGCAGTCGAGTTTTTTGCCTCATTTTGAGCGCTGCTGCTGCACACCCAGCCCACCAGTGATATGCTAGAAGCACCAGATCCACCCCGGAGCGTGCTTGACCGCCACCCCGGTGACCGCCCACAGATGGCTGATCGCACGCGCCGCTCATCGCCGCTCTGACGCTCTGTACGCCGGGTCCTCAGAGGGCTCCTGCGGCTCTCTCTCGTCGCGTGACCGCCGCCGACAGCATGAGCTCGGTCGTACTCGCCGGCGCGAGCTGCGCCACGTCGAATCGTTCGGTGGCTCGACCGCCGGCGCGCCCACCCTTGCCTCCTGCGCGCCGCCTCTCCGCGCAAATCCGCTCACGCCGCGCGTACTCAGCCATCGGCGCGACATCACCCCCCCGCGCAGGCACCTCACGACGGGTCGGCGCACTCGTGCGGCTCAACGCGGACCTACGGAGCGACTCCGCCGCGGCTTGGCGCTGCCCATGGCAGCAACCACAGGTGCCGCCCCACCACCCGCCTGCTGCCTCTGTCTCTCTCAGCCATGCGACCCCTCCGCCAATGCACACCTCGAACGCGACGTCAGATCCCGCTGCGACTGGCAACATTCGCGGCGATGAGGCTCCGCCAGCACTGATCATCACAACTCGTCTGTCAAGCTACACGTTTTTGCCCTGTGCAAGTGAGCGGACCGCTGCAGCCACGGTGGAGCCACGGGTCGGGCGAGGGAATGGCCTTTTGGCGCGGCGCTGCTGTGTGCCTGCGCGCTCATGGCGCGTTCAGGGGTGCCCCTGCGGTGTGTTCTGTAGACTGCGGGGCGCCGCGATAGCGCGGCGCCGACGATTGTGTCGCTCACTGTCACACCAACGACACGGTCACAATGTGTGTGCAGTGCCCAGTGCGTCCACTCCGGCGACCGTGACGCCGTCGGCGCTCGTGTCAAAAGCATCTACTGTGGAGCTCTAAGTGTGGTTGCGTGTTTTACTAATGATGCTGCACTAGGCGGCCCGTTTTTAGCAAAAAGCAGATACCACATCGCGCGTGGTCATCGAAAAACCGCATGTTCGCCCGTTTTGGACCCCTTCGTACGGCTCCAAAAACCGCTCCTTAACGACGACTGCGGGGCCCGGCGGTCGATCTGCGCCTTCTCAGCGGTGGAGGGGATATGGGCGGTACGTATAAACCGCGTGGTGCTGCGATGGTTTGACCTGAGCCCTGGCCTCGACACCTCGACACCAAACCTCGACACCGACTCGTGGCAGCCCGCGCAGAATTGGGCGAGGAAGGGGGTGATCTCTGGCAGCGTCAAGTTCGAACGCCGGCACCTCGCTTGCGAGATCAGCGCCCCCCAGCAGCAGCTCTCCTGCATATCCCGCAATCGCGGCCCAAGACTCAACTCAAACCGCGCTTATTTCTTCGACGTGAGAACGTTGGGAAATCATCGACGTCGCGCGAGGATCAAGGACGTCGGAGGTCGTCCCGTCGTTTTTTAACCGACACTATAGAAGAGCGGCGCGAGTTGGGGCTGCGGTTACGGCTGCGGCTGCGGGAGGGGCTGTGGTCGCGGGAGAGCCGCTGCGCCGCGTGGACGCGCCTACAGCCCTTTAGGTTAGGTAGAAAGGTGAAGAACAGCCAGGCTCGGACTGGACACCAACGCGGTATGGGTGGACGCTAGACAGATGATGACGACACGCACGAGCGACACTCAGACACAAACAGGCTCACAAGAGTCAAGACACACAGCCAGCTGGCTGCCACACACCCTGAGTTGGCGTACACATAACTCAGGGCCACATTCTCCCTGTCGCCCCCCCCAGCACTCCAAGGTGCCAAGAGAACAAACAACAGCACAACAACACAGACAGGCGACAAGTGCGAACGTGTGAGGCTTGAGCAGGCTTGCTCCGCCTCTAGCAATCTCGCCGCCAGCCGCAAGGCATGGGCGAGACCGTGTGTGGGGTCATGTGAGGTGTCTATGGACGCTCTCCTCTCAGGCTAGCTGCCTTCCCTACTGCTAGCCCTAACTCGCACTCATGTGGGAGATGTCAATTCATTGTATGAGTGTAAGCGAGTGGAGGCACGTGGGCTGAATCTAGATCGCACGCCGCGGCGTATGACTTGGGAGGCGTGCGACCGCAGCGCGCCCATCGTAAGGTCGACGGGGTGCGCGTGTCAGCGAGAGAGTTGCGGGTAGAGCCATGCCCGACTTTTCGAAGACGAGCCCCGCGCCACGGATGCCAGTCGTGCCTCCGCGGGAGCCGCCCCTCGAGCCGCGTCCCGTCTGCACTCTCCCTGAGTGCGTCCCGCCTTGGCGGCACGCATTCGGCGAGGACAGTCCTGCTGACGGGAACGTGTCGCGCGCCGGCGACCATTGCGGCGGGGTTGTTGCGCGTACGAAGCGACGATGGCACGACCACCGCCCCGCATCACAGACCGGGCAAGGAGGGGCCTGCTCGCGTTCCGCGGAACAGGAGACCTCTCCCCCTCCCCCGGCCTGAGCAGCTACGGGTGGAAGGCAGCCCCTTGAGTCGAGGGCGGCGCGACCATTGCGCTGACTCAAAGACCAGCTAGCTGGCCCGTTCAGTACAGATGGTCTCGCCGCCCCGCTCCGCCCCGCCCGCCGCCGCGCCGCGCCGCCGCCCGATGATTATTAATTAATAATTAGGTAATAATTAAGTAATTACCCCACCCGCCGCCGCGCCGCTCCGCCCTGCGTCGCCAGCTGCCTCGCCGCGCCGCCGCCTCGCGCCGCCCCGCCGCCCGCTCCGCGCCGCCGCCCGATGATTCATAATTAATAGTTATTATCCTAATTACTAACTAATAAATAAGTAATTACACCCCCCAGCTGGACCCTCACTGCCCCCGACTGAATACCTCCCCCCAACGAAATTCTGAATACAGACTATTCATAATTAATAATTAACAGCCCTACACACACTACTGCTCTTGCTCCGCTCGCCACCTCTCGCAAAGGTCCAAAGTCGTAGCCACCACCTCCTCCGGCAAGTCCTATCGTCCTTTTCGCTTTTGCCAGCTCGTACGGTGTACGGTGTGCTGTATTATTTACCCAGGCGCTCTTTCTTGGAGCACTTGGAGTGCAGTCATCAACCGCACATCCAGGGCCGGGGAGCTAAGAAGCGCACCCAGCGGGCCGGATGATTGGCATCGGGTTGCGGGCAAGAGAGCCCTAGCCCTGGGGGTGCGCGTTCGCAGGGAAAGGGCCGTAAAATAAACACGGTTCTCCGAGGGAGTTAGTCATCTATTAGTCCGCTCTCCACACAGGAAAGCTCACCGTAAAGCTCTCACCGTTATAGGCGTTGATAAGCGGAAACAAGAAGCTCGGACACAGACAGTGAGGGTGTGAGAGGCGAACCTAAGGATGCCCCCCCCCCCCCCCCTATCTTTCACATCCCGGCAACACATGGACATGCGAGATGCGTGTGTCACACAGGGGGCTCTCACACACAGTCGAACGCCGAACCGCTCACGCCGACGCGCGCATATAGCGGACACACAATGCGATTACAAAAGAGAAGCTCTTGCGTCAACGCTGCTGCGTGCGGCGCCACGCGGCCTGGTACTTTTACCGTTCAGTTGCGCCACCACACGCCCGACCCAGTGTGCTTTGGAAAGTAGTCCAAGTGCAGCACCATGGTCGCCGAGTCGTAGCGCGCAGTCGCCCGCTCGCACACGTACCTCGCGTCGCGCGAGCCGCCCTTTTCAATCTTGGTGGTGCCAAAGACGGCCACTAGCTGCGGCTGCGTGAGCTGGACGGAGGCGGAGGCGGCGGCGGACGGAAGCGCGCCCTGGAAGATGAGGTCCATCACGGCCGGCCGCACACCGCGAAAGGTGAGCGTGCCGGGCCTGCTCACAGCCGACCCTGTGAGGATTGGCCCACCAACATATCGCTACAATGTATGACGCACTCTGCGGGAAGCCGCATCCCTTCCTTGATGGCGTCGCCGATGGCCTTGCGCCGCTCGCGCGCCTCCTTCTCGTCTAGCTTGGCCGCCTGCTTGGCGGCGCGGTCCGCCGGCTTTGCGGCGCGACCCTCCGGCTTGGCAGCCTTCGGCAAAGATGAGTCGTAGGCTGGGTTGCGGCGCGGGGCGTTTTTTTGCCGAAGTTGGAAGGTTGGTGACGTCGAGCCCTAGCTGCGGCGGGATCGGGTGCGAGTACTCGGCCGTGTGCACGGGGTTGAGACTGCGGTAGCACTGAGCGCCGTACTTGCAGGCTGGCTTGGCTGCCACCGCTGAGGACTGGATCGGTGAGCTCATCCCGCGCGGCCTGGAAGTCGACCAAGGAGAACCAACCAGCAGACTCGCCCGGGATACGAAGGCGGCAAAATGAAGAAAAATGCGGGGGGATGCAATCTGCCGCAAAGCTTCCGTAGTGAGGAAGGTGAAGAACAGTCACATAGAGGGCGTCCGTAGTCCCGCTTATGGTCCTAATTTAAAAGAATGCTCCGATGCGGATGTCGAGGACTGGACAAAACACCTTTTAGTACGTACGTACGTTAGGAAGGTGAAGAACAGCCAGGCTCCGACTCACATGCGACAGAACGTAGGTAGGTAGGTAGAAAGGTGAAGAACAGCACGTACACACTGAAAAAGACGACCCCGGGCGCGGGAGTCTCCGGGCAAGAACTGCGAACGGAGGCACCGAGGCCACTTCCACTCACCAGGCATCCCTCGCCTTCGCACGTGCAGACACCGCCCCTAGCAGCCGCATCACACCCTCCCACGCCTCGGCCGCCTCCGAAACGCCGCGGCCCGCTCGCGCCCAGCTCGCGCCCAGCTCTACGCCGCACGCACTGCGCCCAAAACGCACAATCAGCGCTCTCGCTACTCCCTTGCACCTCCAGTCTATTGACGCCCGCTCGTTCGCCCGTCCCACAGAAATCATGTGCCCAGCCATGCGCCCCGATGAGGACGATGTCCCGCTCGACGGCATGTCCGGCGATGAGGTACCATTCGCGCCGCCCAATATGCGCGCCCATCATGCCAGATCCTCTCCCTGTGTATATGCGCTCACTCGCCATCGCTCCCGTGCGCGCGCGGCCCACGCACGCCGGCTGCCACCCTCGCCACGCTGCCGCGCAACCGCCAAGGGCGCAGCTCTTCTCCGGCCACCGCTCCTTCCGTCACTCCCACCACCACGCACGCCGCGCCACCCTCGCCTGCCACCCTCGCCGCACTCACCGACTCGCCATCGCCTCCGCCGCGCAGCTCTTCTCCGGCCGTGACGGGTACACGTACAGCGACTACATCATCCTGCCCGGCCACATCACCTTCGACGCCCAGGACGTCACCCTCGACACGTATGTCACGAGGAAGGTCAAGCTGCACCTGCCCTTCGTCTCCTCGCCGATGGACACGGTGACCGAGTCGCAGATGGCGATCCACATGGCGCTGTACGGCGGGCTCGGGATCATCCACTGCAACAACACGATGGAGGAGCAGTGCGCCGAGGTTCGCAAGGTGAAGCGCTTCGAGAACGGCTTCATCCTCGACCCGTTCTGCCTCCCGCCGACGGCGACCCTCGCCGAGGCGCCTCCAAGCCCTCCTCCTCGCTCCCCTGCTCTCGCGCTCTCTCGCTCTCGCTCTCGCGCGGCCCGACTCCCCTCTCGCCACTCCTCCGCTCCTTCCCCACGACTCCCCGCCACTCCTCTCTCTCCCACGCGCGCTTGTCCCGCAGCCCCCTCGAACCTCGGCCAGCCTCCCCCCCCTCCCCCCCTCCCCGCCGCTCCCTCCCCTCCCCGCAGCTCCCTCCCCTCCCCGCCGCCCCACCGTTCCCCGCGCCCCGCCGCGCCCCCTCCAGGTCGACGCAATCAAGCACAAGCACGGCTTCTCCGGAGTCCCAATCACCGACTCCGGCAAGCTCGGCGGCAAGCTGCTCGGCTTCGTCGCCACACGCGACCACGACTTTGTCAAGGACCGCTCCGCCCTATTCCCACCGCCTCCCTCTCTCGCCGCCTCCGTCCCCTCCCTCGCCCGGCTCTGCCCACCACCCTGCCCCCTCCCCACCTCTGTCTCCCCTCCTCCCTCGACCCTCCCCCCTCCCTCTCCCATCCCTCACCCTGCCCCCTCCCTCGCCCCTCTGCAGGACCGATCCACCGTCGTCAAGGAGGTGATGACGCAGCAGCTCGTCACGGCGCCGGAGGGGTGCTCGCTCGAGCAGGCGGCCGCTACCATCCCGCGCCACGCCGGCCGCTCCCCCTCCTGCCCTCTCCCCACCCCGGTCCCGCCTCCTCCCGCCCTCTCTTCCCCATCAGCGCCGCCCCCCCCGCCCCCCCCTTACTTCCCCCCCTCCCCTCCCCGCTAGGCCAACAAGATCCTCACCGACTCCAAGAAGGGCAAGCTCCCCGTCGTCAACAAGTCGGGCGAGCTCGTCGCCCTCATCTCGCGCAGGGACTTGCGCAAGAACCGCGACTACCCGCACGCCTCCAAGGGTGCGGCGCCGGCCCCTGCCTTCTGCTCCCTCTCCCTCCCCCCTCCCCCCCCCCCCTCTGCCTCTTCCTCCTCCATCACTCCTTCTGCCTCCTCCCTCTCCTCCTCTTGCTGCCCTCCCCCGGTCTCCCCAATGCCTCCCTCTCCGCCCGCCCTACCCTTCCGCCTCCCCCCTCCCTCCGCCATCCTCTCCTCTCTCCCGCCTCCGCACCGCCGCCGGCCGTCGCCCCACCTCGTCCGCGACACGTCCTGCAGGCGCGTCCAAGCGCCTCCTCGTCGGCGCCTCCATCCACACGCGGCCCGAGGACAAGACGCGCGTCGCCATGCTCGTCGAGGCGGGCGTCGACGTCGTCGTCATCGACTCGTCGCAGGGCAACTCGCGCTACCAGGAGGAGATGGTCAAGCACATCAAGGCCACGCACCCTGACGTGCAGGTACGGCGTGGCCTGCGTCACCCCTCCCCCTCCCGCCACGCCCGCGCCCTCCATCTCACCCACCCCGGCCGCCCCGCCCGCCGCTCCGCCTTTCGCTGCCGTTCGGCCTCGGCTCGTGCTGCCCCTTCCAAGTGCCCCTCTCTCTTTGCCGCCGCAGGTCGTCGGAGGCAACGTCGTGTGCGTCTCGCAGGCCAAGAACCTGATCGCGTGGGGCGTCGACGCCCTGCGCATCGGCATGGGCTCGGGCTCCATCTGCACCACGCAGGAGGTGATGGCCGTGGGCCGGCCGCAGGCGCGGCAACCCTCCCCCCCCCCTCCCCCTCTCCCTCCGACTTCCCGCCGCGGCCCGGCGCCTGCGAGCCCGCGCCTCCTCACACCATACACCGCCCGTCTCCCCTCGCATCATCAGGCGACCGCCGTCTACCACGTCTGCAAGTACGCCCGCAAGCACGGCGTGCCGTGCTGGGCGGACGGCGGCATCTCCAACGTCGGCAAGATCTCAAAGGCCCTCGCGTGCGGCGCGTCCGCCGTCATGATGGGCTCGATGCTGGCTGGCACCGACGAGGCGCGCGCGCACAAACAGCAAACGCCAACGCACACCACGCAGCGACGCACACGGACACTCACGCGCGCACTAACTTGGCGGCGGCCCTTCACTCCCCCCCCTCCCCCCTTCTCCCCCCAGGCGCCCGGGGAGTACTTCTACAAGGACGGGGTGCGGCTCAAGACGTACCGCGGCATGGGCTCGATCGACGCCATGTCCAAGGGCACCTCCGCCGACCGCTACTTCTCCACCGACGCCGCCGTCCGCGTCGCGCAGGGTGTCTCGGGCGCCGTTGCTGACAAGGGATCGCTCAAGCGGTGCCTGCCTCTCTGGCTCTCGACCCGCCGGCTGTGGAAAGCGCCTCTTCACACGCGCCGGCTGTGACCAGGTACCTGCCGTACCTCTCTACCGGCTTGCGCCACTCGCTGCAGGACATGGGCCTGCAGTCGTGCGAGGCGCTGTGGGCCGCGCTCGCCGACGGCACGCTCCGCTTCCAGCAGCGCACCTCGGGCGCGCAGGCCGAGGGCTCGATCCACAATTTGCTGCACGCCAAGAAGAAGGACTTCAGCTGAGCTAGTGACTCGCCGCCGCTGGGGCGGCGTAGGGAGCTCGCGCAGGGTCCGTTTTCCGCGCCGAGTAGGTGGCGTTTGGACAGCCGCCGTTCGCGGGGCGGCGCCGGGAGTGAGTTCTCTGAGCGGCCTTGCGCCACATGACGGCGCGCTCATTCATCATCGATCTTGCGAGTGTCGAGTTGGTGTTGCCGCGATGTTGTGCGCGTTGCCGTTGGGGAGTCGTCGTTGATGTGTGCCACGTCCTTGGCATTACAGACATACTGACGTAAATATCTATCGTGGGGCTCTCTAATTAAACTTTTTGATGAGACGATCTCGATAGGACGTCGGCTCTTGGAGTCTGACTCGTGGTAACGTGTGGAGCGTCTACCCTTCCGTACTACCCACCGCCACAAATTCGGCGCTACAGCGCGGATTCATCGCTCAATAGCGTAAAACGCTCCGCGCCCCCGTACGACGCCTTCCCCTACAGTGCAGCCTTCCCCCGGCATGTGCTCGCCCCTGTTTTCCCACGGCGACCATCCGTCGAGCGTACGCGCGCGCGGCGCCGCGGCTGGACGCTGTCTGCTGTGCACCATTAGACGCCACAAAAGCGTCACCTGTTTGGGCCTAGGTTTGGGCCGCTCTCCACGCTCGACCACAGCGCCGGGCACGCCTGGGTGAAGGGGGGGGGGGGGTAGCTCGGCTAGTTGTCAGGAGAGCTCGGCGAGATCTCGGCGAGATCTCGGCGAGGTCTCGCCTCGCGGAGGCACTCCCCAAACAGCGCCGCGACCTCCTGCTCGGTCCGGACGGGGCGGTAGAGGCCTGCTGGGTCGGCAATCAGCGCGTCGAGGCCGCGATCCGGGTCGGCGAGCAGCTGCTCGGGGGTGAGGTCTCTCAGCGGCGGCAGCCGCGCGATGAGGCTGCGCGCCGGGGGGGGGGGGGGTCAGAGGTAGAGAAGAGGGGAAGGGGGGGGGGAGGGGGGTTAGTGGCGGAAACGGGAGAGGAGGGGGGGCAGAGCGAGCGCGCAAGGCGGTCTGTGCGTGGCCGCCCGGCAGAGTGAAGCGCCCCCTGCCCTCTCGGGCGGCGGGGAACGCCTGCGGCAGACTCTCGGCTATCTCTCGGCTCTCTCTCGGCTCTCTCTCGGCTGTCTATGGAGCGCCTGCGGCACACGCCGAGCAGCCGAGCCTCGTCCGACGCGAGGCGCTGGAGGTGGTCGGAGTAGGTACGGGTGAGCTGGCGGTCAATCCAGCAAAGCACCTGGCGGGGGGGGGGGGGGGGGGTGGTTTGGGAAAAAAGTGGTGGGGGTGCTCTCGGGTGCTCTTGGGTGCTCTCGGGTGCGGTGCTCTCGGGTGCTCTCTCGGGTAGGGAGCTGGCGGTCCGCCGGGCCGAGCACCTGCAGCGCCTCGTCCAGCTCGTGCCGCGCGACGTTAGACTCGTGGGCACGGAGGTTAGCCTAGTCACCCACGACTCGGCGAGGATGCGCCGAGATTGCCCGAGATAGCTCGGTGGCGGCTGGGACTGGCCAGACCGCAATGAAGGGGGGGGGGGGTCTCGGGCAAGCTCGCCTCGTGTCGCTCGAGCGTCGAGGCGCGCGCGGCGGCCTCCCCCTCCGCCGCGAAGACTTGCGTCGCGTGCCGCAGCTCGGCCAAGCTCCTACAGCTCAGCCACGACTCTGGCTGGAGGACTCTTTGATCGGAAGGCGAGGAGCAGCGCGGCGGAGGAGCGGCGCGCCCCCTCGCCACGCCGACCGGCGGAGCGGGCGGCGGCGGCGGAGGCGGCGGCAGGGTCGGCGGCGGCGGCGGCGGTAGGGGCGCCGGCAGCGGGTTTGGGGGCGGCGAGTCGCCGCCGTCTCTCTCCGATCCGGCGCGGTTGAGTCTTGGCACGTTGGCGACGTAGCGCACGAGGAGGAAAGCGGCGAGGTGCGTGCAGCGCGAGCCACACTCTGGCTGCAGCGGCCGCACGAAGAGCGTGTTTTGGAAGGGGGTCCCGTCTGGCGGAGGGAGAGGGCAGGGCGACGGCGTCAGCTTGTTTTCAGTGGCGGAGGAGGCCGGAGCGGGGCGGAAGGGAGGGGGGGGGGGGGGCGAGGCGTCTCGCGGCGCGTCTCGGCTGTAGCTCGGCCGCATCTCGGCTGCATCGCGCCTCCCGTGTAGTTGAGCAGTCGGACCTCGATGTCGCGACCGGAGGTCTGCGGGCAAGCGGTGGCGGGGGTGCGGGGCGGGCGGCGGGTCGGGGCCGGGGGGGGGGGGGGGGCCCCAAAAGGGGGTTGGGGGGGAAACC